TCCCTTTATGAAGCATGGAGCAGGGGTTGTAGTTCTGTTTTCAGAATCTGGTTCATGGTTGGAACAAGACTTCTGCACTAGCCATGATTCTCAAGGGGATCAGAATCAGTGGATGAATATATATGAAACTAGGGTTTATTAGGTTGGCTTACATGATTTGGGGCTAGTTCAACGGTGGTGGTCTCACACTGGAGAAGCTGCAAACCTGGTAGCAGCTTAGTTAATGAGGTTGGGTGTGATTGAGGAAGACATTGACATCATTCCCTGGCCTCCCACTTCCCTAAATACTCCACTTAGATGGAGTTCATCACTCAGTGTGAAGTCAGTGACTAGAAGGTTGTATGACTGTCATGACAGTTACCCACTACACTAGATTTACATCCTTTAGCCAATGGCATTCAGTGTTCTTCCCCAAGACCTAGCACACCCAAATGTTTACATTACCTGGTATCTCACTATCAAGTTAGCTGCGCCTGTCTACAGAGGCATGACCAAAAGGCTGTATTTTAATTAGAAATAAGCCTGAGCATTAGAGACATAGAGGAATCTGATAGCAAAATCCTAATTGAATTATAAAGCTAGATGTAGCCACACACACCTGAAATTCCAGAGGAAGGCTAAGTGGGGACAATGAAGAGTTCAAGACCAGCATGGACTACATACTGAATTTTGACCTTATCAAGACATAATCACAAACAAAACACAAGTGTTTGATCCAAGCAGGCACTTGCCCAAGAAACCAACCCCTGATCTACAATAAGCAAGAAAGGCAGCCATTCTATTATGTAGCTCATGCTTGTAGGAAGCCAGGCTGTTGTCTCTACTGACAACCTTGGAAGGTAAATAATAGCTTTCTAAAAATATATTCTTTAAAAATTACCAAATAGGTTTCATTATGATACCTGCATATACACTTGATTTATATTCTCTTTATGCATGTTTTGACCCCTTCCTATGCATGTTCTGATCCCTTCCTATGTTGACTCATCCTATTGGGCTCCCTCCTCCCCTCAAACCCAATTCTGCTTCCGTGTCACATATGTTCTTGGTATTCTTCCACCCCACAGTCTTTAACCCCTTCCTGTTTCATGACCTACACACCTAAAAGAACTGAAATCTAAATGAGAAACAAGTGTTGTCTTTCTGAATCTTATTTTTAACATGATTACTTCCAGTTCTGTCCATTTCCCTGCAAATACTATGCCTTCATTTCTTTATTGCTGGGTAAAATCCCATCCTGTCTATGTATCATATTCTCCTTATCCATTTGTCAACCGATGAACACCTAGGTTGATTCCATTTCTAAGCTATTATGAATATGCAGCTATAAACACAAATACACTCCAAGAATAAATCTTTTTTGATCATTAAATCCATACACATAGCCAAGAGCTGAAAAATTATTCCACTTCCTTAGTGTGGTAGTTTGAATGTAATTGGCCCCCATAATCCCATAATCTCATAGGGCGTGTCACTAATAAAAGGTGTGGCTTTTTTGGAGTGGGTATGGCCTTGTTGGAGGAAGTGTGTCATTGTGGAAGGTGGGCTTTGAGGTTTCATGTACTCAGGATACTGCCCAATGTGTCAGTCAACTTCCTGTTGCCTACAAGACAGTAGCCATGTCAGCTCCACCCTACATGCTGCCATGCTTTCTATGATGGTCTAAAACCTTGAACTGTAAGCGAGCAGTTCAACTTATTTAGTAATGAAGTAATTGATTACTTATTAAATGTTTTCTTTCTGAGGGTTGCTGTGGTCACAGTGTCTCTTCAAAGCAATAAAAACCCAAACTAAGACATAGCCATCAGGAAAATGCAAATTAAGACTTTGAGAGTCCATCTCATGGCAGTTGTAATGGCTACTTACAATCCATAATAAATGGTAACACATACTGGTGAGGACATGAGGAAAAGAGAACCCTTATTCGCTGCTAGTGAGTGTGTAAACTGGTGCAGCTATTATGGACATTAATGTGGGTGTTGCTCATAAACTAAAAACAGAATGAGAACCAGCTAAACACGAATGCTGCAACAGTAAGTTGTTTAGGCCAGGCAGGATTTAGCCAGTAGGTTCTCTAATCTTTGTCCTTAATATCAGACGAAGTCAAACATGCACTTCCAATCATTCACATAGGTTGTCCCTTTCTAACTGCTGGTAATTAGTAGAGTTCCACTTCTTCATGCCAAGCAGCACCAAATGGGGCACACCTGCACCTTGCCTTCCTTTGCATGCCAATGTATTTGCATTCCTTGGCCTGCCTTAGAGGCTCTGCCAAAAATGCAAGTGGTTTTGGGATGATAAAGGTCAGACTTAGCAGCATTTGCTTCACTGCTTGGTTGCCCATTATTTGCACAGCACTGCAGGTCTCGTAGGGTGTTAGGCTTCCAAATCATCCCGACTGCTGTTCTTCATTACTAAATAAGTATTTATGGCAGGTGTGGTGGCACACACCTGTAATCCCAGCACTTAGGAGGCCAGGACTGCCAGGCAACAGCAGCAAATACTGGCCTAACATATTAATGCCCTTTGACTGGATGGCCAAGCCATTCTATCCGTCTGCATAGTGTCTACCCCTAGCCCATGTTTAAGTTTTCAGGCAATGTCCTCCTTGTGTGGCTCAGGTTGGCTGGGTATTTCTATTTGACCAAGGCTGGCACTGAACTCAGAATCATGCTTCTGTCTCCTGAGTGCTGGCATTGCAAGACAAACATGCCATCACCCTGTTTAATGGATTTAAGTTGGCATGTTCCTGGGAATCTTCACAAGGGAGAAGAGACCAAAGAAAGGACCAGTGCCTGGTGGTTGGTCATACACCATTTGGACTAAGAACCTGGGGAGGGATGACAAACGGGACAGTGGAGATCTAGGATTGGGCAGTATAAATTCCAGCAATATCCTAAGGGGGAGGGTAGAAGCCCGTGGGATGCCATGGAATGTATGCACAAGTGAAATGAGCTATGGTTTCCAACTGAATTTTGCATCTGTTCATGAGCCCATGGCACTTGGTGTTCCTCACCAAGTCTGGGATGACAAAGTTTTACGTCAGGGACATTACAGTTCCAATTCCCATTCTCTGGTGATTGAGTTAATTTCCATTGGCACGTGAAGGACGTTCTTACCCAAACATTCCTTATGGCTTGTTGTGTAGAAGATAGGTCCTTAGGCAATTTAAGCTTGAAGTAATCAACAGACCCACTTGGCATATTTCCCTCGAGTTTCGTTACCATCCTATTCTATAATAAGAAGTTTAAAACAAAGAATTGGGCATTGAAGTACAGAAGGAAAAAAAAAAAAAAAAAAAGAAAAAAAAAAAAAAAAAAAAAGAAAAAAGGAAGAAAAGAGAAAAAGATGAAGGTGCCCTGCCAGAGGCTGCCACCCCCAGGAGGAGGGTAGCAGCCTGGACACTTAGCAATTGGAACTGGCATCGGATGAGATGCTGCTGTGCAGTCAGCGCCTTGGTGTTGAATCAGGTGCTGTGGGCCATGGTACTGTCAGAGTGGGATGTCAGAGTGGGAACTGGATGCTAGCCGTGCTATAACAAGCACTTGAAACTGCTGTTAAAAATCACTTGTGCCCACAAGGGGACTTAAAGCAAGACAGATTGGCATCTCTGCCTTTGTTTCTACCTGTCTCTTTGAGGCTCAGGTTCCTGCTTGACTCTATAGAGGCACATGAAGCATTCAGTGTCTCATTCCTGGTAAAGCTGAGATACAAGGGTAGGTCATTATCTTAAACTGGCAAGTCACCTTGGAGTTCCAGAAGGACAAACAAGACAGTCTGGTTCCTACCCAAAATGAGTTCAATTCTCTCCGACGGTGAGGTTGCATCCTGTAATCATGTTGTAAGAACCACAGACCAAACTCCTTTACACAAGGGCAGGAACTTGAGACCACCTCGAAGAACTGGACCCAAGATGGTGATCCTCGAGAACACCTTGACTGAGTGCTTATCTGTGCAGACTCTTGCCCTGTCCTGGTTCTTGCTATTTAAGCCTAGCTTCTATCAGTACCTTGAAGATGCTGGGCATTCCTGGATTGGATCCCTTTACAACGTGGGCACAATAAATCAATCTCTTTTTTTTTTTTGTTTTTTTGCCATTTCTTCTCTCTTTAGTTGCTGCATTAGGAAGGGTTGCCACCAAAGCCCTTCTCTGAAGTGATACCTCGGGCTGTTTTGGTAATGTTGGGAACACTAAACTGGTGGAACAGCCATGAGGACAAAGGAATGTGAACAAAGAGGAAGGAAGCATGTGAAAGGCCTCTGAACTCTGGCCTTCCCTTTCATCTCTACTGAGGTATCTCAGAAAGAAGCTGGTTGGCACTGGAGAAATGAGGTTTGTTCAGCCCCAAGTGAATGCCAAAGGCAGGTATGACTGGACTCCTGTATCCAGGGGAACAGTAGCTGACCCAACAGAGGTAAAAAAATATTCAGGGAAGTTGAGTGTGGTGGCCCCATTTTTAATCCCAGCATTGGGGAGGAAGAGGCAGGCAGATCTTTGTGAGTTTGAAGCCAGCTTGGTTTCCATAGCAAGTTCCAGGCCAGCCAGGTCCACACAGTAGGTCTTATCTCAAAACAAACAATTCAGGGATGAAAGTTGTGCCTGTATTGAAGGTGTTGACTTTCACATTATGACCCAAACAACATAGCATAAGGATGATTTCTGTATCTGTGCTGGATTCAGCACTTTCTCCCCTCCCCCCAATACAGGGTTCCTTGTAGCTTTGGAGCCTGTGCTGGGACCAAAGGTGTACATCATGGCTCAGAGCAGTTTTAATCTGGGGATGATGCACACACTGTAGCACTATCTATTAGGGTGCTTATGCATTCTTATACATGGTATCCCCCCCAGAATTCCTAAAACAGGGCCTTTCCCCATACCTAAGGACCACCATATACAGAGGGAAAATTTGAATTTGAGAAGGCAGAGCTCAGTATCTGCTACAGATCACCCATGGATCACAGCCCACACACAAACAATGCTTCTAAATATAACAACCCACTACCATAAGAAATTCATCTTTATTTATCCTTAATAAATTGCGAATGTCTGTGGTACAAAAAGTATCTTCAAAGTAAGCAGAATCGCAGCTGGTACAGGATCAGTTTCTAGGAGACTGGGTCCATCTCTTTGGTCATAGGCCTACCTGAGTATTCTTGACTGGATAGCACAGTCAACATATAACTCACAGAGCTGAGGTCAAACAACAGATGAAGTCTACAGAAAGGCAAGTCCTTTCCTTATCAATGGTAACAAAATGTCAGAAGTCCTCAGCACACAACTCCACACAGACAGATGTACAGACAGTTCCACGTGTTGATTACTTAGGGTCTAGTCAGTGCTAAATTCTATCGAGCTGTACCCTAAGAGATGGTAATTGTTCTTAACCAACACAAGGAACCTTTTGTGGTTTAATCTTACATGTCAGTATATTCTCAATTAATGGTCAGTCTTTTGACAAATTACTATTTGCATAAGGTTGTATTACTAAATAAAACTAAAATTTTTTCAAAGTGTAAAAAAACAGAAAAGTATATGAAAACAGATGTTTATTACAGAACGTTAAAAAATATCCCAAGTGACTGCATTAAATAAACAAAAACCACACTACCACAGATGAGAAAGACCCAGCAGCATGCAGACAGTTCAGGCTGTAGAGGCATATCTGCTCCTGGTGAGTCACTTCTGTAAAGTTCTCAAAAATTTGAGTCTGAAGTGAATGTATGAATTGGCTTGACATGATTCAAAAAGTAGATTATAAATTTAAGGGCAGTTATACAATGGCAAAAATGAGTTTCTAACAGTCATTCCAGGACAATTACTAGAGGGGTGTACATATGTGTCCTGTCTGTGTGTACATACACACAAATCAAAAACAGGTCAAAAATCTAGGGAGTGGCATGTGCCCACACATTTGAAAGCCCTCAAGAATACCATTAAAAGGATGTATAACATCCATTACACATCTGTTTCAAGAACAGCATTATTTCCAAAATTATGCATTTCTTTACAGGTAAACATTGGAGTATTAACCACAAGGATGACTTCAAACCATGGTGTGCTCACAGGCAGCTGCTGTATCTGAGGCATCCATTTTAATCTTGGGGCTTTAAGAACATCTTCTTTGTTTTAATGGGTTTTATATTTCCATTTTCATCTTCTTCGTAATTGGCTCGGTCCCTCTTCTTGGCAAACTTTTTTCCAATTGTTCCCACCAAAGTCTCATATCTGTTAGGATGATACACAGCACAATTTAACTTCAAATAAAAAAGTAGGAATCAAGGCTTGCCAAAAGCATCAAGCCAAATACAACAAGAAAAACAAAATTTATGATGAAAACAGATTGTGTGAGTTAAAAATGCACACAGCTGGCTAAGGATGATTAAATCCTCTACTGGTTTTGCTTCTGTACCGCCCCCCCCCCAACCCCAGAGAAGTATGTTTGCAGTCACTGGAGGGAGTGCTGGAACAGAGCCCTCATGGCCAGCATGGCCCAGCATGAAGCCACTGGGGCCATTAGGAGCAGGCAGCGTGCACATCTCCCCACTGTGCACTAGGTTTAAAGCTCCATAGATCGCGCAGTCAGGTCTCCAGGAGAATGCTACAACAGCTCCTAGAGCATAGTTACCTTCTTGCCATTTCTTCATCCGACACATCCACCTCCACTGTCTCGTCTTCTTCTGCAGCTGCTTTGTTCTTAGAATTCATCTGAAGCATTAACTTCTGAAAAATACATCAGTGCTGGCCATCAGGGAGGCCTGGGGAGGGCTGGTGTCAAGGTTGTCTTCTGACAGAGAAACTGAGTCACAGAACCCCTTGAGACTAGACAAAACTCACGAGGGGTTCTGTGCAAAGCTTCTTGCCACACAGCTGGGAGTGCTAAGAACAGCTGGCTCAGTGTCAGGTAAGCCAACATTTAGATCACCCACCCTACCTGTCACTCATAAAGGGGGCACACAGCTAACAGTGAGAGGAGAAAGAAAAAGTTTAAAAAAAAGAGAAGGGCTCCCCTCAATGTTCCAGAACACTTCTCCTTCATCTCTCTCACAAGACTCTACTGATAACTGATTTTCTGACACTTTTAAACAGTAGTTTCTGTGTAACAAGGGGGGGGGGGGCAGAGAGAGGGTTGAGAAAGTATTCACAGACATGTACAGGACTGATGAAAACCTCTGCAGAGAGAGAACAGAGTCCATGTTGGAGTCCAGTGACTCTGGTCATTTTCTGACCATCTCTCATACCAAATTCTGAGGTGTTACACCTGAACTTTCCCACTGAGGAGGCACTTTGGGAGGCTTGCTCACCTAAGCACCATTCTTTGAACAGATTCATAAACCCCAAATGTTTCTTTCCTTTTGCCTCAGTCTCCTGTCCATTTAAAGCTTAAAGGAGGCTGGAGCCGAGAAAATGAGTACTAAACACAAACATAAATGTGGACTCTGTATAAATATAACACTTTTCTATAATGCACATTCCACATATATTTCCTAAACAAACAAACAAACAAACACCGCCCCCTACAACCAACTTCCATCTTTAAAGAAAGTTCAGTGTGGGCTTAGGTGACTGGTTTTTTTTTTTTTTTTTTTTTTTTTCAGAAAAGTGATTCTCATCTGGGGATGTTTTACCCACCAGGGGACAGATGGCAATGGCCAGAGATACTATACTTTTTGTCATCACAGCTGAGTTGAAGGAAGCATGTGTGCTACTTACTACATTTAGAGGGTGGGGGCCAGAAGCTTGTGGGGTAGCCTATATAATCCTTTAACATCCAGGACAGCCAGGATATAACCAAGCCCCAGTGTTACTGCCTAGATTGAAGAACCCTGGCTGAAGTGGGACATGCTAAAGGTTTACAGCACACATCTGTGTGGACCACTTCACAAGAGGGCTCTCAACATGGGCATCAGAGTTCTTGTAAATGTGACATAGTAAAAGCATGCTTTTCTGTGACACTGAGTCAGGAGATTAAAGCAATAGCTGCCCAGTCACAACAACAACAACAAAAAAAACAATCTATTTAACAGCTTGGATTAAGACCCGTCCATTACTAAGTCAAACGATACCATTTTTAAGTAGTATTTTTTCCATTAAGAAAGAGACATTTACACATGCTGGAAAACAACTTCTCATAACAGCATCGTATGAATAGTCGTGACATTCCTGTAAAAGACTGAGTTGAAACTAACACAGTGGCAGCATCAGGGACTGTACACCGCTATATTAAATTACCCACTCAATTCTTCCATAAAACCAGACTGCCTCGCTGCAATTTCCTTAAATAGCTATGGCAATATTTTAAGACTTGTTATTTTTTATATAATGAGGAGAAATGGTACCTGGTGGGGAGAGACTGAAGCTCAATTATTGGTAGGAAAAAATTCAATTGTAAAAAAATTTAAAATGTGAAGCAATTATCTTTAATACCTCAACTTCAGGATTAAATCCTCTGAATGACATCCTTCCATAGAGGAGATCTTCACATAGTGAGAAGCTCTGCTCTTCTATGATCAAACTCCTGAGCAGAATAAGAAACCCGTATTAACAAACAGTGCATTTGCTTACAACCAAGCGCAGAAGCAGAGGTCAAGCTTGCATGAAAATCCATTTTCCAGGTCTCAGAGGGAGCAAGCAAGAGCACAGTGAGATCTTTAAACAGGGTTAGAAGTAAAAGCTGATTCAGCCAGCCAACAAGGGCACTGGGAGATAAGAGCCATAGGCTTAGGCATGGCTTCCTCCAACCTCTGCAAGTAATTACATCACACACAAACCTTAGAAATTCTTGAAAAACCTGAACTTTCCAAGGCAGAAGCAAAATACCTGACTCTTGTTTAACCTCAATGTTCATTAAATATCCAGGAGAGAACAACAAGCAAATCACAGCAAGGAAGAAACGTCAGGCCTGGGAAGCTCTCACAGAAGGCATGATTTGGTGGAGATCTTGGCTATAAACACTGAAGACTGAAGACTGGCCTTGATGGCTTATGAGTCTGCAGAGAAGGGGCTTGAGGTATCAGGAAAGCTAGACCAACAGGACTGGGAATAATACTTCAAAACAAACTGCAGCCACTGAGATGCTTGGCAAGTGAAAGCACAAACATCATGGGCACAACCGTTCTGGGGAACAGACCCCACAATGTCTGTCTCTAAGAGTGACCCAAATCCAAGGTGCACACATTCTCTAGCAAGCCAGCATAGGCCTGGCCTTGGACTCCTTCATGGGGTCCTGCTCTGCTTCTCATCAAGAACTACCCCCTCTGCCAATGATCACAGATATGCACAGGTGTGTCCAGGGGCTGGGGAACAGCTGGGAAGGAAAGAACCTCTGTTCTCGTGGGCATCCTGGTGCAAACATGGTGTCAGAAAAGAAAACATTTGTACCACATAGGGCAAAAACGCAGGTCATCCCATTCCAGGGGACAGCGGGAGGAATCACACTCAATTAGGACAATAGCCAAGAAGGCGAAACTGAACACAAACATTTCCACAAGAAACTACTGAAAGCATCAGGCTGGGACTGTGACAACTGGAAATGCCAAGTGAAGCAAGTTCTCCACCGGGAGCAGGGAGCAGAACAGAGGCCGGCTGATCAGCCTTGCTGAACTGAGAGGCAAACCCAAGTTCAGAATCACAGAGGTGGCTGGAATACATGGGCCAGAATGACAGAAAGAGACACAATGTAATCTGGGACCTGCTGCGAGGTCTCTGTGAATCTCTGGCTGAATATAAAGTTGCACAGTCACAGGGTGGGTGAGTCCACAGCTAATGACCAAATGCTCCAGGGAGGCCAGTGCCCTGGTGCAGCAGCTTGTGGCCACTGTGTTGATTACCACAAAGTCGGCAGCTTAAGCTGCTGTAAACTTAGGCTCTTGCAGCATAAATCCAGAGTCAAGTGCAAAACCAAGGCTGGAGCAGGACTGTAATCCTACAGGGACAATTATCTCTGGCCTCTCCTCTCGGGCTGGCAGTGTAGCCAGTATTACTCTCCAAGGGCCACACTACTCCAATCTGTGCCTCTGATCAAAGGCTTCTTTCTCCTTGGCCTCTCTTACAAGAGTTATGGTTGGTCCCCAAGAGTCCATGTGGTGGAGGCCTGGTGTCCAGTGAGGCCATGTGAGTGATGGAGTCTTTAAGATGTGCGGCCTAGTGGGAAGTCACCAGTGACACTGCATTCAGGGAGAAGAGAAACAAACAAACAAACAAACAAACAAAAAACATGCCTGGTTTCTAGAGTTCACTCTTATGAGAGTAGGTATCATAAAAAGCCTGAGCCTGACTTGAGTCCCTGGCTTCCCGCCTCAAGTTGCCACCTCTGACTCTCACAAATCCTTCGATACCAGGCTCTTATAGAGCTGAGCTGATACCAGTGCCATGCCCTTGATCCTCCAGAATTGTGAGATAGATAAATCTCTCTCCTTCTTAGGACACCAGCCTCAGGCAATTCATTACAGCAATGAAAACCAGACTAGCATGCAAGAAACCATTAAAAATAAATAAATAAATAAATAAAAATTTAGAATGTACCCTAGGCATTTATTATCTGGGGCAGGGGCATTTTCCAGCCTACAGTATTTTGGAAATAAAATATGTTCAGCCATATACAAACAACAAACACTGCAACCTATACAGAATGTGGGGGGAGGTGGGATATTTGAGGTCTGTCCAGCAAGAGAAGAGATCAACAGAGTCCTTTTGATACCCAGCAGAAAGGTCCAAGCCTTGAGTCTGGCTAATTTAGCCAGAGCAAAGATGAAAAACCCACTATAACCCACAGTAAGCTTCCTGACATGTCAGTCAACTGTCCAATGGAACAAAATCCAACACTTTATTAATGAAAGCAACTCAATCCAGAGAATCAGCAATGGTCACCCTCACACACAAATCACTAGACATGCAAGGGAGCAGGAAAAATAAGAGGTGATGTAGTTAGTTAAAAAGTAGTTTAATAATTATAAATGTATTACAAACAAACATTTATGGAACATGCCTCAGAATTTCAATGAAAATATGAATGCAAAAGAAATAAACAGGAAACCTGAATTTTAAGTGGAAAATGCAAGAGGTACCAGATATTAATTCTACAATCAAGAAAAAACAAACGAACAAACAACAACAACAAAAACCCCCAACTGTCTGAAGAAGGAAACTACCATGGACATGATGGGGACCACCATGACCTGGAGGCTGAGTCTGAGACTAGCATGGGCTGAAGAGTAAGACCCTGCTTCAAAGACAAAGGACAGTCCCACATCTGAGTTCTGTACTGAAAATCCTCTGGATAAGAATACTTCAGACCTCAGATCGTTTCACTGCTGAAAATACGGTCAGCACTCTAAAAACTGTATTATCAACTTAATATAAACTAGGAAAAGAGAGGAAGTATCAATACTTAGCAACTAATCTATGGCCCAAATCAAAGACATTATAAACAAGATACAGGGTACATTTTTATGAATATAGCCAAAAATTGTTAATAACAATTATGGAAATGGCACAGGTCTATAATCTCAGCACTCAGGAGGCCTGGGCCAGAGGATTGGGAGTTCAAGATCTTTCTCTCCTGATACACACATAAAAAAAATACATGGTTTTCATATTCAGAAATTAATTCCTGACATTTTAACAGAAAACAGTAATCTTTTTTTTTTTAATAAAAAGCAAAAATGTAACTTGCCCTTATATAACTAGGGAAAAGAAACTAACCCTGTTGATGAGAGGCATCTACCAAAACACATAGCAGGCTGTCCCTGGAATGGACAAATCAGTGCTTTTCTGAGACATCTGCTCTTATCACTTCTATTCAGTATGGGTGGTGTTAACCCATCAAATAATGCCAGAAAGGAAATGGAAGCTGGAGCTCAGGGATCCCCTGGGCTGCCTGTGCCCTCTAGCAGAGAATTAGTTCCTATACCATGCTCTTACCTCACAGCTTCCCTTCATGCCATGGGAATAAGATGGTGAAAAGTTATTTATGCCTTATTTTCCCAGGAAAAGAAACCCAAAAGTTATTTTCCTAGAACAGTATGTTGTATTAAAAAAAAAAAAAAAAACCCAAAAAACAAAAAAACAAACAAACCAAAAACCAAACAATATCCCAAATGAGGCAGACCTGTCCTTACCCTTTGGTAAACACCTGGGAGACTTTGTACAAACTCAACCAACACATAAAATGACTGCTCTTCATCAATGTTAGTCCCTTCTGCATACTCCTATTCATACTGTCCCTGGGCTTGTCATCTGTGCTAGTCTTCCTGCACATCCCTGTTTACACTGTCCTTAGCTTTGTCATTTGTGTTAGTCCCCTTGCACACTTTTACGTACACTATCTCCAGGGTCCATATGCTACTCCCTCCCCCTTGCCCACTCCTATTTATATTATCTCTTAGAATATCTCCATCTTGATCAATATTTTGGACCTGTAAGAAGCACACAGATTAAAAAAGTCACTTCTTGCCAGGTGTTGGTGGTGCATACCTTTAATCCCAGCACTCAGTAGGCAAAGGCAGGAAGATCTCTGTGAGTTCAAGGCCAGCCTGGTCCACAGAGCTAGTTCCAGGACAGGCTCCGAAGCAATACAGAGAAACCCTATCTCAAAAAAAAAAAAAAAAAAAAAAAAAAAAAAATCACATCTCTGGGGAAATCTGGACTTTCTCTTCCCAGGAGAACATGAGAATATGTCACCATCCTAAAGGACCAGATAAAGTAAAAATAAGTAAATAAACGAAATAAAAAAGAACAACAAGGCTAACTAAACTGCAAATTAAAATTAACAGGGGGAAAAGGGAAAGACATATGTACCTAAAAACAGTAGGTGAAACATTCAGCCATTTGACAAAAGTATAAGTAAATAACAAACCATGCTGAGGTAAGAAAATGAACAAGCTAAAATGCTACACAACTTCCAGGGTTTAGACAGAAAAAAAAAAAAAAAAAAAAAGAGGTGAATCTACCACTGTCCAACTCAAGATTCTTCCAAGTATTAGACAGGCTTGGAAGCAGAACAAAAACTACCTCAGGTATTTACCTAGCTTCTGTATCTCCAGGCAGTTGGCTCCAGGCAAAACAACCCTCTTAAGATGCAATTCCTCAACATCAAAGGACACAACCATGCTGGGTACACTTGGGTTTTTTCTGTATTTAACTAAGGTAAATGAAATGCTTAGCTTAGGACACACTACCAATACAGCAATGTTTGTGACAGGAATGGCATTCAGTGTAGTACTGATTCAAACAAACAAACAAACATCCCCTGACCTGCCAAAGGACTATTACAGAAACAAAGCTGGGGAGGCCTAACCATATAACCCACCTTTGGGCCTTTGTTTGACTCCATGTGGAACACACACAGGTAAACAGTTTTCAGAAGAAAAGGAAGCATTGCACTAGAAGGATGAGTCAGCTTTAAAGGGCTTTCCAAACCACAAACCCCAATAAACCTACTCTTTCTCCTTGAACTCCGGCAAATCCAGGTACCAGTGCTCATCGCTGATCATCTTCTTTTCCTCCTCTTCTAGTTGTTTCTTGGTTTCCGAGTCCAGGCCTCTTTGCATGAACTGTCAAACAAAACCGAGCAGTGTCAGTGCTCTTGCTTATCTGTACCATGGGTACACAGGTCACCTGGAAGATAAGGAATTCAGGAACAGTCCTCTGAATATCAATGAACCTAGACTTGTCTTAGCTTTCCAGACTCCCTTGTGGTTCATGGTTGCCCCTTATATTCTTGGTGTAATCCTAACTGCACTGTATCTTCCATTTCTTCTCAGCAGAAACTTTAAGGCACATATCTACCCTGGAGAGAACAGAACACACTATGGCTGTGAATAAAGTATATCTAGATTTAGGAAGAAGTACAATTTTGACTTCAGTCTCAGGACACATTCTAGAACTAGCAATTTCATTCCCCTCACTTAAAACTGAGGATCCAGAGCAGACGCACGGTGGCTCTTTATGTTCTACAGTTTACTAGGGCATAGTCATGTTGATTCAGTTCTGGGCAATACTAGAAGAGCTCAGTAGTACATGGGTCCTCTCTGGCCTACTATAATATTTATTATCTTGCCCCTTATAAAGCATACCAAGTCCTGCCCTAAGATCCAGAAAAAGAACCCAAAACACAAAAAACTACCATCTCTACCCAAACTGTCATCCTGGCAAATCTTCTACCCACATTCTTCTCTCCCACAAGAACTCCATCTTAAATAGCTGTCCCAGCCAGAGGAACTCAAGAATACTGATGGACCTGGGGTAAAGGCACTTGTTTCCAAGGCTGACAACTTGAGTTTGATCCTCAGGACTCACTTGGAAGAGAAACAACACTGGTAACTTGCTTATATGTGTCATGGCACACACACAAAAGAAATAATGTAATAATAATAATAATAATAATAAAAAGGACTGGAGAGATGGTTCAGTGTTTAAGAGTACTGATTGCTTTTCTGGGGGAGACAGGTTCGACTCCTAGCCCCTACACTGGGGCTCACATCCCTCTGTTACCCCAGTTATAGTTCAAGGGGTTCTAACATCCTATTTTGGGCTCCAGACACTCATGTTGTGCAGACATACAAATAGGAAAAATACCCATACACAGAAAATAATTTAAAATTTTTAATTAAGAAATACCGAAGACAAGTGAGTCAGGATTAAACATTCAATGCTCTCATACTTGCCCTATTAGTTCTACCTGAACAGCCACCCTAGCTGTGGTTCCCTAAGCACCTTTGCTCCATGCCTTCTCCTAGTACACTACTCTAGTTGGGCACAATATCTCCTGTCCCACCAGTTAGGTCTTTGGCAATATAGCTGCTAATACAAACAGAACATGGGTAATGCTCTCCCACATACCTGTCATGTTCAGTTGTATCTTGTTCACTTGGGTGAGGAGAAATAATTGCTTTAATTATTTTCAAGCTAAGAGGCAGATCGTTAGTGTCCACCCTGACTGCTTAGCACAGTCGAATTTGCCTTATTCCAAAAGCTAAGACTACTCAGTGCTTCCTAGGTCCACTCCATTTCTCTGCAATTAGTATGATTACAAACTGCTAAAACTGGTAAAGACTCAAACTTTGTTCACATACAGAAAGCAGTACTTCCCAGACTAAATTAGGGGTAACTTGCCCTCCCTCCTTCCTCATTCTGCTAACTCCCGGCTGCAGTCCAACTCTACTGCATTCTAAGCTTCCAAAGAAAGCTTAATCCCCGGCAATCAACATAGTATTCATTCATATCTTATTTCCTTTTCTTGGAAAGGACACTGCACTTACTGACAGCCCACATGTTAAAAAGGTTTAGCTTAATTAACCACCTTTAAGATAGTGGGAAACTGATACCACCCATCAGTAACAGTATGTTAAATTCTGACCTTTTCCTGTGCTAGCCATATGTAACAGGAGACTCATGGGGCAATGGGCCACCACTCCCAGAAAGCCACATCATCATAGGGGTAAAGGACAGAAACTCTACATTGTACTACGTGGCTAAACTATACCGTTTCATAGGCAGGGCAGCTGTCTGTGTTAAATACATTTTTATAACATTGTTGAGTGAGGCGTTTAAGTCAAGCGCTACCTGTGTGTTCAGTGACAGGTGGCAGAGACTATAAGCAAAGGCTCTGGAACCAGATGACCAATCTTTTTAAGCTGTTATTTCTGTTTCAGATACCTCAGGTGTCATAGGAGATGACTATAGCTCCTTCAAATGTTACCATATGAATTAAGTGGTTTATTATATATGAAACAAGAACAATGTCTGGATGTTGGAAGGACTATAATATTTTCTATATAGTCTCATCTTAATTCATGTTAATTTCACGTGACTTTAACCTCACTCTTCTTTTCAGACTGTAGTTAGGTTGATTCAGGTTTCTGTTATCTTTTTGACACTTTGAGATGGCCACAAACTTGCTAAGCAGCTGACAGTATTGGAATTACAAATCGGTACCACCAAGCCACTAACTACTGCTGGTTCAAATTCAAATTTAAAAATCATGGGGCTGGAAAGTTGGCTCAGTGTCTAAGAGCACTTCTGGTTCTTGCAGAGGTCTCAGTAACCACACCTAGCAGCTTTCAGGGGTCCCAATTGTTTCTTCTGGTCTTTCTAGGCATCTGAACACACATGCTGTATATTAAAGGCATACATAAAGAAAAATAAGCATAAACCTTTTAAAAAATTTGAGTTTTAAAAGTTGATGGACAACTCATTTCACCCCACTTAAAATTTTCTTCATTCCCACTTCAATGGCAATCAATCTTCATCCAGAACACAGGATCTTTTAGCTGGTCTTTCTGACTGTAAGTTTATATGTTGTGGGGCTGGGCTTCTCTCTCACTAATTATTATCCATAGCACAGTTAGCGTAGCCTTGATATAGGTAACAACTCATGAGACTATTCCTGGGCTCAACAGTTTCCTTACTGTTCATGAGACAATGGGGAACAAAACTTCAGTCTGGGTCACAAAGTTCCTTGGATGTTATGACCACTAATTTTTCCAGACTAGTTCTATGCTCCTCATCTTTCAGAGGTCCGAGCTACCTTTTGTTCTTGGAAATGTTCGTAATTTTCTTTTCTCCCTCTCAGACTTCTGAACTCACTTACCCTAGTTTAGGACACTACCTGAGATCCTTTTACGTTGTTTCTTTTTAAGAACCACTTCTCGCCAGACGCCTAAGTTCCCAGCCGGCCCTAACACTTCAGCAGTCACCGCAGGTTCTTATGTTTGTGCAAGCTCCGTCCCCACAAAGGGCTTCGGGCAAGTCTACTTAATCATAATCTCACCCCAGGTGCCCAATGGCTCGTAATCTGAACGAATGAATGGATGCGAGGGCCGCGGCCATTCAGGGCCAATCTGAGGTTCAGTCTGCCCGTCGCCTCGGCCAGAGTCACTCCGGGCCATCTCGGAGCTCAGCCGCGCCGTCCGACACCCCAGCAACCCCCAAGCCCCGCACCTTCATGCGCAGCAGGTTCTTGGATAACTTAGTCTTGCGCTCAGACGCCATGTTGGGTACACTTCCAGAGGCTCCGGCGCCACGGCGCTTGCGCACTGTCAAGCGCGGAGCGTGACGTCTCACTAAACGTGCCCCGCCTCTCGCCACGTCGTCTTCCCTTGCCGCAGCTCTTAGCCCCACCTCACACCTTTGCCCTGCCCCCGATTGGCCACACCCTGCCGCGTTACCCCGCCCCAGCACCTGGTCTTGCCCCGCCCACGTGCCCTGCGCTCTGGGTTTGCTTTAGCTTCTCTCGCTGGGCTCCTCTGAGAGCGCGTCTCTCTGTGGTAAGAACTCGGGCTGCCGCGGGAGGCGAGGGCCTACCTCAGGAAGGCAGGTTAAGGGGAGGCCGCTGGAGCTGTGGTCGGGGCCTCCGAGCCCCGCGACTCCAGGGGACCCTCTAAGCGCCCTGTCTGTAGGGTCCTTGCTGATAAACCGCTGAGGTTGCTGCCAGAGTTTAAAAGTTTTAACACACTACTGGTTCGCTCTCTACGTAGCTCGTTTTCTAGAACTCGCCCTAGCCCCTGGGCCCAGTCACAGAGTGCAGGAGGTGGTCACAAACCCAGTGTTGGGAGTGATATTGCCCCCGTTGCCCTGCTGCACAGAAAAGCCACAGCAGACTGGTAAATAAACATACACCTGTTTTCCGTGCACCTCTGAGCCTGGGGAATTTCCCTTTTAAACAGGAAGAAAAACAGGAACTAGCAGGAGCTCTTAGGCGACTAAAGGCAACAAAGAACTTGGGAAGGGGCCTGGGATGGTTTAGGTGGTGAAGACATTTGCTGCCAAGCCTGAGGACATGGGTTTGATCCCTGGGATCCACATGATGGAAGGACAGAGGTTGTCCTTTCACTTCTTCACACATGCGCACACCTCACAACAAATAAATGTAAATTATTAAGAATAAAAATCCCTTGAGCCCTATATTAAGGTAAACAGTTGTAAATACAGTAGCTTTAGTGCTTTTCCGTTTAGTGCTCACTCACTGTACCTCCTGAAGACTTTTTCCCCAGACCATTTTCAGTTCCCCACTTCGGAAGACACTGAATAACAAGTTGTTTGCTTGCAGTGGGCATCTTTTTTTTTTTTTTTTTTTTTTTTTCTTTTTAAGCTGGTGCTGTACCTTATGAGAACAATGAAGAACACATCATTGTCGTGTATTAAGCAACCTGCTGGAGAAGTGGTAAAGCTGAGATTCATAAAGCATTCCGGATATTAAAAGCCCTGAAGGTTTTCTCAGTGGAGTAAATAAAGACATAATGTGTTAAGTGGTTACAGAAACACATTTACTCATAACTGTGAGTGAGACATTGGAGAGGACCAAGTGGCTAAAAACACATTACCACCCTTTCCCGGAGCTGGCATTCTGTACATTAAAAAGTAGTAAGTACTCCAGAAGAAAGAAAACTATTGTGGTGAGTGACTTTGAGGATCACTTTAAATTTAGTCCAGGATGGTCCTCTTCAGATGAAAGTGGGAAGTCTTGAAACTCAAGAAAATATTATTGTATAATAAGACTTGGAGGTGAAGTGCACAAAGAAGAGAGCATAGCAGTTCCTCAAATGAGAACCATGTTCTCATCCCTGAGTTTACTACCTGTTACTTTGTTACTGGCCTAACCACATGTGGCCAACTTACGGCTCCTTCATTCATATCTTGAAGTCCCAACCCCCATTATATCAGAATGTGACTGGGTTTGGAGATAAAGAGGCAATTAAGTTAAACCAAGTCCTGTAGAGTGAACCCAATTTTTGTTTTTCTTTTTTGTTTTCTGTGCTGGAGATAGAAAACTAAAGCCACACCCTAGGCAAGTGCTCAAACACTTAGCTACATCCCCAGCCTTGTGTTATAAGATGGAGACTTCTGAGCACACCAGAGATGTGTATGCTAAAAAATGACCATCTACATGCCAAGGAAGGAAGCCTCAGGAGAAGCCAAAGTTACTTTGGTCATAACTGTAAGAAATAAATGTACCCTCCCTCCCATCATAGTCTGTAGTATTTTGTTATGGTGACCACAAAAAAGTGAGGAATGGTGTAACTACAGATTACAGTTGTGACAAGAGCTTGGTGAGCAGAGATGACATAGCAAGGGTACCTGAGCCCCTCTGGCCTGGAAAAGGCAAAGTATGTCCTAAATGGTGTGACATTTAAACAGATAAGAGAATAGTAGTTAGTCCAAGGAAAGGCCTCCCAGTCATTCCCATGGCTGTGCTACCATCCCTGCCTGCCACACTCCTCATCTTGCAAAAGTGAAAACTTTGTACCGAGTAAACAACAAGCCCTTGCACCACTATCCTACTCTCGAACTCTGAGTTTGACTCCTGTGTGGCATCTTGAAAGAAGTACTTTGAGAACAGAGGTGAAGAAGTGACTTAGTCTCTCATCTATTTCTGGGGAACTGGAGGTTGTCTGACTTAACTCTTGAAGGACAAGTTGTTTTGGGTTAAGAAGGTGAAAATGTCAACCTTGGTAGATATAATAGCATGTGTACAACCAGCAAAGGCAGTTAAAAGAGCTCCATAACTTTCTTTTGGACGTCTATTATTTCTAGTCTGCTTGAACACTGGTTTTGGATATTTTTTTTTCCTTGAAATACTGATGTTATTATGTCAGTTATTCAGCACTTGTTTGAGGGATAAAAGCCAAAGTTATTAACCAGTCAACTCAAAAAAAAAAATCTGTATTTTTGACAATGCAGATACTTAAAATGAATACCCAAAAGGTCCCACCTCTCAAAATGTAATACATGAGAAGTGGTTTAAGACTAATAGTGTAATTGTGGCTTTGAGTTACTCCCCCAGGGGGAGATAACTCCTTAATCTTTTGATGGTATTAAATTATAGAGCACAAGATAGATGTTGTACTTGATAACCTGTTGTGACTATATACAACTAACAAAACATTATTTTGCTATCAGAATTGTCTTGAGTTTTCACACAGTTCCGAGTTCCATCAAGAAAAGGGCCCCTCTCCCCATTCATCCTTCCTCTCTTCATTTCTGTAGCTTGATTTCAGAATTGCCTGCACCAACACACACCTTCCCAGTGCAGGAGCTAGAGTGGATGCGTCAGGGCCAGCAGTGGAAGCTCTTCTGCAGTGACTCCAGGCAGCTGCCATATTATGTACCACTTAATGTTGTTGTTCATTTGTTTGCAAGTACCAGGTATTGAAGTGACTTGTACAAAACAGATTGATTATGATATTCATAGAATTGATAAGGAGGGTTGAGAACAAAGGTAAAAAGAGCACAAACAGGGACCACCAAGGGATCAAGGAAACAGAAATGAATGTAACTGCTACTGTAAGAATGGATGAACACCAGTGGATTTTTCTGCTCGTAGGACACACTGCTCATGATTTCAAAGTCAAGAAGAGTTTCATTTTGTCTTGGTTTAGGGTAGGACCTGATTTATAATCCCAGTGAGACCACATCATGGGGAGAGTAATGCTTCAAAGAAAAATCTTGCTGTTCCTCTAGGAAGATAGGGTCATTACATTATATTAGCCCAAATGGCAGTGGCAAGGACAGACACCCACTTAAGGCAGGAAAGGGGAGAGTGCTGTTGAGAGTCCCAGAAGACAAGGTAATGGTTGATTGGGAAATGCCTATATCCAACATCAAACCTGTCTTTTCTCACAGACTGAACTCTCTTCCTTTTTCCCTGATTCATTCATTAAACAAGCATTGGCTGGCTGGCTGCCAGTTACAAGCAAATTGTGAATCCAGGACAACCAGCCTCAAAACCTAAATAGTGCAGTGCATCCCTTTGCTCTCATATTAGGTTACTTATTAAGTTCTATCAATCACTTGTACATAGATAACTAGACATGGCCTTACATGTAATTTCTAAACACATTTTTTAAACACATTTTGACCATAGAACGTGAATGACCAGAATATCCAAAGGAAATTAAAGCGTGTTAAAAAGAAAAACATATGTTTTCCTGTATGATTCTTGTGATAACTCTTCTTGTTGACACACCTGGGAAGATAGAATGTCAGTTGGGGAATTACCATCAGTTTGGTCTGTGACAGTGCTTATGGGGCCTTTTCTTGATTGTTAGTTGATGGATGTGGGCAGTGCCACCCCTGGGCTGGTGGTCCTGGGTTATATAAAGAAGTTAGCTGAGCAGAAGCAGGAAGCAAGCCAGTAAGCAACACTCACTCTTTCACGGGCTCTGCTTTGGTTCTTCCTTGGATTCTACCAATGATGATAGGCTATATACTTGTAAACCAAATAAACCCTTTCATCCCCAAGTTGCTTTTGATCAGAATGTATGTTTGTTTCCTTCCTTCCTTCCTTTTTTCAAACCACAGAACAGAAACCAAACTAGGACAATTCTTGTGTGTGTGTGTGTGTGTGTGACAAAGAGAGAGAGAGAGAGAGAGAGAGAGAGAGAGAGAGAGAGAGAGAGAGAGAGAGAGAACATGTTCTAACATGTGTGGAGACTAGAGGTCAATGTCAGGTGTCCATTACTCTTCCTCTTAGTTTTAAAGATGGTTTCTCAATAACCTTGGAGTTCACCATTTCAACAGATTAGCTGAACAACAAACCAATGATCCTCCTCTATCTAGGAATGGGCTGCTGTGCATGGATAGTGTGTGTTTGTGTATGGCTTGTGGTGTGTGTGTGTGTGTGTGTGTGTGTGTGTGTGTGCATGCCTATCTGTCTGTCTGTCTGTGTGCTTACTTGGAGGCTGGTGGATAACATGTGGTGTTCCATCACTTTCATCTTACACCTTTGAAACAGGGTATGTGACCAAACCTGGAGTTAAGCTAGTGACTAGAAAGCCCTGGAGATCTTCCTGTCTCTGTCTTCTCATAGCACTGGTGCCATAAAACACCTGACTCTTTATTTGGTACTGCCGATTTGAACTCCGCTCCACATGCTTGCCCAGCAAAGGTTCACCACTGAGCAAACTTCCCCTCTTTTGTACCTGACCTCAGGACCTCATTGTAGGACAGTCACTTAACTGACTGATTTCTCTAGCCTTTATTTGGGTGATTCTAAGGAACAGTTAGGATTTGGAAACTACCAAGCTAGATATAACTTCTAATTTATATTTATATAAAATATACTTATCTAGTATATAT